CCTAGGTAATCGCGCGCTTAAAAATCGCTGCTCCTTCATTTTCCGAAGAACAAATACTCAATAATGCAAGGCCGTATATCAACATAAAAATTAGCACAAGTTGTAGAGAATATACTGGCTTGATACGTCAAAACTGTACCGCAGATCACCCGCCTGAAGAGTATTTTTGTTCGTCCTGCAATCAAACACACCGTGCTTTGGTGCGCTCCGTGCTACACCATCCATCGCCATTGTTAACGCGCTTCCTAATTTTGTAGCCTGCAGAACATAAGTCGTGTTCATTTGTCATCTACTTCTCTACCGTATCGTCTTAAATGTCTTAAAAATCATTGTGACCGACTAGTATCTCAGGCATCAAACAACAAAATTGACGGCATAGGTATTTTAGAAGTCTCCGAAGATCGCAAAAAGCCTGTGAGCACTGCCAAAGATTTTGTTCAGTTGCGCACTAAATTTGCATTTATAGGCGTGATTATTCTTCCTCTCAAGTTGATTCAGTAGCGGCGAAAAAAATATTTCTATCCTTAAGTAGCTCGTTCCAACAAGGCAGTACAAAGCAAAGCAAAGTTTAATGTATTCAGTCAAGTAGTCACAAAACAAAGATAACTTTCTCTTTTTGGAAACTGAAAAGTCAGTTGCAGCCAACATCGCTTGGAGTTTTGCGATATGTTCTGTCTAGCATTTGCAATCTCCGACAATTTTGAAAGGTCTTTTTGTTAGAGAGCCAACTTTGGTTTTTCGGTACACGACCAAGCGCACCTTCGGGTAAAGTGATATAAGTTTACGGAAGATGCTGTCTTCAGAGTAGAAACAGCTGTGTTTCATCTCTGAAGACAAAACTTAACCATGCATAAAGTTTGGTTTCAAAGTTCACTAAAGTTATTAGACCGAGAGCTTTGATGAATACCATGTCACCCTTTTTGAAACCACTCACAACAATACAAAGAAAGCACTGTTTCAGGCTGTAACGCTGGGGAAAACTAAGCCAAATTCTCCAACTTAGACGGCAGTGTGTCAGGAGCTATATAGACAGTTCTAATAACTACAGAAAAACCGCCCAAAAACTGGTTTACATTCAATTAAATGGCATCTAACCGTTGTGGCACTAGTAGAATCTAGTCAGGTACGATGCGCATGATCCAGAGTGGATATCAGAAGGCTGAAACGTCGGACACAGCAAACTGTATTGTGACGCTGCAACAAAATGAAGGCGGATAAAACAACCAGGAGCAAACGTCGGTCTCTGGCTCACCAAATGTAATTGTGACTAACCGGATGTAGGTCAAGTTGACCTTAAAGTAAGGGAGTTTGAGACAAAAACTAGTAATGTACAATTGATCGGGAATGAGATTGTACATAGAAGATGGTATTTATCTTATGGGATTGCAAAAATAAGTGTAATCAGGATTCAAGCGGTCAGTGCTAGAAATATGCGTTCTATAATGTAGTTGGACAGTAAAATGCTTAGCTCGACATGTAAAACGAAAAGTTACCCACATACGGAGGCTGTAAAGATTGTTTAACAAGGTCATTTCGAAAGAAAACATGAGTACACGCAGAGGGATCAGGATGAACGTGTGTGCGTGATAATGAAGTTGGCTCATGTGTTTCAAGAGTTTAGTAACATAAGTAAATGGGGTCAGTGTTACTATTGGCTACCGGTGTAAAAAGATTGACTAGGGATGCTTAATGTAGATCCAAAAACCAGTTCCGCGGATGAACATTGGAGGGTTGATCGAAACACGGTCCTCAAATGGCACAAAATCAAAGGCGATGTATCTGCCTAGTGAGTCGAATCAGAGTGTGCTTTCATTGCAGTTTTTAAGTGTCTATGAAAACCTTGGACCAAATAGTTCCGTCAACTGCTGGAAAAGCTGTGCTTCGAATTGTGAACCGCAGTCAGTAGAGATGTAGGAAGGAACTCCAAAAATGGCTATCCCTCTGGTGACAAGTGCACGAGCCATGGTTACTACAAGTGTGTTTGCAATGGAAATGATTTCGGGCTATCCAGTGAAACGATCAATGCATGTCAGTATATAAGAATTACCACAGGAATATGGTAGGATTGCAACGAAATAGATGTGGATATGATCCAATGTGCCGTCTGGTTGTGAAACATTTCCGATGCGCAACTGGGTATGCCGAATGACTTTCAGACTTTCACATGCTAAGCAAGTCTTTACTCATGCGCACATCTCTTTGTTCATATTCGCTATAAAAAGCGCTTGGATGACCACTTGTACGTATACCGGGAATCAAGACGTTATGAAGAGCCTCAACAATAGTTCATTGCATGGGTACATGAACCAATGGTCTTGGAATTACAGTGGACACATCACAATCAGTCGTAGCTGGTGTAGTGTGCCGACGTACTAAATGGATGTTCAGCGAAAGCTGTTTGAGATTCACGTGCGGTTGACAGGGTTCGCCTTTTTGTACTTGAGCCACGAGTTTCAGGTCAATAGGAGACGAATTCACCAAACCAACTTACGGGCGTGACAGTGTATCAGCGACAATGTCGAGAATAAACCTTTTATTTATTTATTTATTTAAGTGTGTGCTTTCGTTAGCATCTGCAATCAAAATATCATCAAGGTAAGCAAAGATAAATAGACGGCCTGAAAGCGCCTGATCAATAAATCGTTGAAGTGTTTGTGTAGCGTTACATAAGCCAAATGGCATGCTTAAAAGCTCTCACAGGGAATAGTGTTGTGATAGCTGTTTTCCGAATATCATCAGAATGAATATGGATGTGGTGATAAGAGCGCATGACGTCAATTTATGAAAAATAGTGCATCAAAGAAGATAAGAAGAAAAATAGCGAATGTGTGGAACAGTGTATTTATCAGGAATGGTGATGAGGCTAAGTGCTCTGCAGTCGCCACATGGTCTCCAAGCGGATGCTATTTTCTTTGCAACCATATGCATCGGTGATGCCTACATGCTTTGAGATGGTCGAATTATTCCTACCTGTAGCATGCACTGTAACTCACCCTTAACTACTTTGAGTCCTTCCGTGTTCAGACATCGAGGAAGGGAGAAAAGTGGAATACTGCTGGTGGTGATGTGGCGACATACAGAATGTGTGCTATTCGTCTGATGAAAACTTGGTTTTAATAGATCTGGGCACCTTCGAAGGAGCCTGTAGTATGGAGAAGAGTTCTGGGGCACAAGGGTTATGGGTCTGATGGATGGTGTACACACTGTGTTACCAGGAACGGAAAGCCGCGTTTTAACATCTAGCAAACGCTGGCTTCATAGATCCACTAACCGGCTGAATTGCTTCAGGTAATCCGCTCCTAATAAGGGTTGATTTACGTCTGCGATTGCAAATATCCAACTGAATTGTCACTCTAGACAATGTTGAGTAGTGTATATATTTTTGCAGCAGTCTACGAATAGACGTAGAGCCATCAGAAACCATGGGACTCAAAAGAAGGTACAGAAATAGTAAAAGAAAGCACAACAAAACACATCAAAATCCATGGTTTCGTCAGAGAGCAAGCTACTATCCGGTTGCCCAAGTCGAAGTAGGGTGTCGACTTGGGGGACACCACCCCGAGCTTTTGGCTGAATAGCCTGCCCGCAATGCAGCGGAGCGAATTCAGGGGATCGCGCCCATTTGGAGCCGCTGACCGATTGCTCAGTTCCTACGCCTTTCGTTTGTTCTTTTGTCAAACAGGCGCCTAATGCTCCCCAGGACTACAGCATAAATTTGCTGGAATACAATGCTTCACCAGGATGGAGCAAGGGGCAGTGACTTTATTTAGTGGCGAGTCACGTCCGGCACGCCACAGTGTTGTTAAACGGATACATGTGACTTTTTATAAGGAGAACGCTTGCTAAGCGAAAACCCACCACGTTCTGGAACACTGCCGCCGAACCATTTGCTGGAACGGGAAAATCCCGAACCACCCAGCTGGCACCACGAGGAGGTTGTTCGGTAAGTTTTACAACTGGTCTCATTAGCTGCTGTTAACCACATCGAGGATGGAGTGGGGTTATTAGAAGAGCCGATTGGAGGTAATACTCTAATGTCAGCGCCAGTGTCAACAATAAAACGGTAACCGGCAGTCTGATCTAGGACAATGAGTCGGCGAGATTTGGGCTGGTTTTGGCCAAGGACAGTGCCCGTCATCATCGCGTGGTTTATTCGTTTCTAAACGGTGCTAAATCTGGCGGCTGAGTTTGACGGAACGAGCAGCGTTGGGTGCGGTTACGAGCTGAATACCCGAAACGACTATGATACCAGCAACTAGTTGAAGTACGCGATGAAGAAGGGTTTCTTGTTCGAGCATCTGAACGAATACTGGAAGAACGGTGTCGCGTGGGTCGATTTCAACGTAGTTCGGTTATCCATTTAGCCAAATGGTCCAGACGGTCGTTAATGGATTCTGGTAGCCTGTGCGTTTAAACGCCGTGGATGTCAGTTGCGCTAGGTTGCATTTCCAAAATTTTGTCAGCAATACTAGCAAGTTGCGCCAAGGGAACACTGGCAGCGTTGTTGGCTAGAATAGCCTGTACCTGTGTAGGTAAACGCTTCAGAACCAGTTGCCTGAATAATGCGTCATCTAGTTTGCGATCGCTTAATACGCTGTATAGACGTCTTAGTAAGTGGGAGGGAGTGTGTCCGTCAAGTGCTTCACCGCTAATCAGTTCTTCAAGACGTTTGTGTTCAGAAATGGAAGTTCGTTGGATGACTGTATGCTTAGACAGCGAATAAGGCTTGACATAAGCGGAACTAACAATTGTCAGGACTATCATTATCAGAATGATCGCTTTCTTTTCTACCGTTACCGTTGATACAGCATGGGCCTGCGGTATTGTTTCCGCTACGGATTGGGTAGGTACCGACAAATGGATTTCTCGCTTTTCGTTAGATTTGAGAAAAACTATTAGTTAACATTGGACAAACCATGAGTAGCATGCGACTACTGCCTTCTAAAAGACATGGCCGAAATAGGTCCAGTTAATTCCAAGTTGGCACAAAGGAAACGGTAGGATGACATGTGTATTCATGACATCGTTTATAAAATTGCGCCAAAGATTTTATTAGTATAAGAAACCAAAAACATTAGACTGATGAGCATAACCTTCAACTTCGGATTTCCGAGTTTTCGCAGTTTATCTATCGGTCCAGGAGTACACATCACTGATTGTCATTCCGCTACAATCCGGGTTTCCCACGTGCAGCTATTTGCTGCTGAGATTGTTTAGTTGAATCGGAATATGTCACAGCCTTCAGTAGTTCTCGAGGTTAACCGGTTGGGTCCAAATGCATTTGATGGGCTAAACTGTGAACAGGATTCAACAACGAATGTGAGTGATGATGGTGAACATTTGTATAGCAAACTTTTGACAGGCAATAATCTTAAAATGCTTGAGTTAGCGCTGCAGTTTCCTAAAGCATCGAAGTTAGAGCACATACTTCGATCAGCCTACATCTGTTCCTCCTCGAAAACGTAAGGTTTATTGAAGGCATACATAAAGGTGAAAAGAATGGCTCCCTATAACTATAGACTCGGTGTATCAGTAGACAACTACCAGTTAGTATAAGAGGACTGCATAGTTCTCGTTTGGCGAGGACAATCTATGTGAGTCATGGTGACTGACAACCAAACTGTTTCCATGGCATTCTCTTACTTCATGGACGACATTTAAGATCGGATTACTGCCGTAGCAAAAACAAGGTGCCTCACCATCGCTCATAGCGTTTTGTTCCACTTTCCATCAAAAGTGTCCATTTCTAATAGTGATGTTCACACTGATATGGGTTGACGGGTTTCAAAATACCGTTATTCGGCATGAAGAACCCGAAGACATGCCACCAACGGAAGGAAGCCTGAGTTTTGGCTACATTAACTCTCACAGATGGCGAATAATTTTGCGTTGTACGTTTAGCGAAATGTTGTTCACGGCTTGTGATAATAAGGTTAGCCGCAGTGAGCATCATATCCTTTTGTGATTTTAGTGACTGGATGTTTCATCTGTGCTCGTAAATGTTCACTTCAGTCTGCCAGTTTGTGAGAGCTTGTGCACACCTCAAGTAACACAGAATCAGCGGGCGACCCTTTCAACATACTTCTTAAAAGAACATAAAGAACATTTCAGCGGCGCAATATCCGAGGCTTTATTTCTATCAGATTATTCATGTGCGCTTAATGAAGTTGTTGATAGCTTCTATGCACACAAAGTTTAAATGATTAATTGGTGATCCCGATTCCGCAAAGGCCGCTTCAGTAGTTGGCGATTTCTCAGTCCATGTTTTGTATCTTTTAACACTTACCTCCATAAACAGTAGGTTACTGTCAACGAATTAATTTCAAAGCTTACTTTAGCTAATCGCAATTCGATTACAAGCCAGAAAGGTCAAGTAACAAATTGGAAAAGCATAAGACAATTGTTTCATTTTATTGGGACTCATAGGTGATGCGCATTCCCCCGCGTCTCTGTCAGGGATACGAGCCCAGGACCGTTAGTGGCCTGCAACTCATACCAACAGCTTGCCGCACTGAGTGATGCGGGACGACAGCTGACCATCATAGAGTGAAATCTAACTGTCATACAGCCTGACCAATCCCCCACTGTCATGCAGGTTACTCCTTTTGCAAAGGACAATGGTCGGTTATCAAGTGGTAGGAATTCCCTAGTCAGAAGCCCTGAATCCATACAGTGTGTTGAAGATCGCCAGAGCCAGGTTTTTGATTACTTATCAATAGATGGATTTGATAAGATTTACTGAGTTCATCACAATTTCAAATGTACTTACAGGTGGGCCACGGGATCTCTCTGAAGGACTAATCCCCGAACTCCAGTAACCCACCAACGCGTTGTTGTTAGAGTGAGGACCTTGGTTAAATGAGGGAGAGAGAAAAGCAAGTGAATTTCAGAGGTCCTGCAATCATGTTATATTTTCCAGTTAGGTCATTCAGTCACAAATGCGTTTGAAATGAACCATCTGTGGGTGTGGCTGTAAAGTGATGAAGTACGGTGGCTCACCGCTTCTCAGTTCGTCTAGCCCTGGTTGTTTCCTACAACCGCGATAACATTTGTTAGACGGAGTAAGCCACTAACACAAACTGCTATGTTTTGATTGATAAGGACAGGGACTGTCAAAACACGAACCGGTTGCCCAGTGAACCAGGCCCCTCGTCATTATTCTGATTAATTGTCTCAATATTTATTTTCATGATCGTAAAGAATTTACTGGCTTACTTCTTTTAATTATTCAAAAACTACAAGTTAGTTTACAATGTAACTGTGATATACTAAAAAATTAAGATCGTAAAGGTTAACTACATCACCCGCATCTTTCTAGTTTGTGAAGAGACCATAGCAACGATGAGGACCTTGCAGTTAAGAACACTGATACTCATCTCACGATTTATTAACACTTACTCTCCGGTTATTGAGTAGGATGCATTAAGGACGAAATATTTAGCACCCAGAAACAACTTAGCAGACTGTCTATAAAATTTGTCCACAATCATTTACTACATCGTAGTTGGATGCGGAACACAGACGTATCCACTTGAAGCTACATGTGCGCTGTACATCGTTGTGCTCAACGGTAAAGTGGTGTTGTTATTTCAGTGAAACTAGTCAAGTAATGCCAGTCAAAGTCTAGGGATCGATTCACGCGGCCAAGAATGGTTGAAGCATTCGCAATGAAGTAAGTTGGATAACAATATCAGTTTATGGGATCTAGTCGACGAAGTTAATAGCCTAACCATTTGTGGACCGAATCGTTTGGCGAAAACCGTCACGCGTGTCACCAACAGGAGCACATAAATTGCTCATCGATGCGCAACATTTTTCTGGTGTTAACTTTCCTGTGGTTTTACCGTTGCATCATTGTAGTGCGCATGACACCACCGATTCGGCTTGATGGGTTCCGATGCTTGTCTGCTCTTTTTCCAGTAGCCAAGTTCGGAGCTGTTGTAATTGAACAGTCGTAGTACTAAGGTTAAGCAAGGCTAATAGGAACCCGTGAACAGTAGCCAGGTCTAGAAGATGTTAGGGGACAGTGTGGCAAATTTTCCATCTGTGAAGGCAAAATGAAAGAATATCTGTGGTATCATTTTAGTAACGCTAACCCCGTAGAACAAGGATATACCTGCATGGCCTAAATGCCCTCCAGGATAAACTATTCAGCACAAAAATTCAAGTCGCCTTTCGCTTCGTGTCTATTTACGAAAATCAAAACTTGTCACGAGGTCGCTCGCCATTTTACTTCACAAAGTGTTAAGTGAGTCAAAATCGTCGGTCCTCACAGCGAACACCTTACACTGAGGATGAAGAAGCGCGCTTATTCCATCGAAATTTACAAGAGTAGCATCTGCAGTGTTTAATGCTTCGTACCATATGACATGAAATATAAAAGTACTCAGATGGCACCCCTGAATAGATGTCATCAAGGGTAGGAACGGTTAGGCCTTTAGTACGGGCCATGGTGTCCTCAGTGGGCAAACACACCATCGAATGAGGGCACAATTCTTTAGTGTTATTTCGTGCCTGGTCGTCTGTCCTTGAGTTTGTCAGGGCGTCACTGGTAGCACAGCCAATGGCTAAATTTGACTACACAAAAGATGTTCATTATACGCGTAGGTAAATCTCCGTTTCTGTTTTAC